TCAGAGTGGACAGTTTGCTCTCTCATCTCAGTTGACAACAACAATCAATCAGCAAGTAATGCCTCAGGAGACTCAGAAAAGCAATGGCATGGGACATGGAACAGATGCTTATAGTATATATGATTCATCAGTCGTTCAGCAACCTTCTAATTCTGTGACATCGACCAATGTGATTCGTGGCGCGAATGTTTCCCAGCAGCATACGGCCATGCCACTGGCTTCTGAAAAAGTGAATTTGGAGCTCACGAATCAGGTGCATCAACTTCAGTCTACCCTGTATGGAGCTGTCAGGAACATCGGAGGTTGATGCTGATAAGAATGAGCGATATCGGTCAACACTACAATTTGCAGCTAACCTCCTTTTCCAGATCCAACAGCAGCAGCAGCCAGGTGCTCAAGCAAGGCAAGGATCTGTAATCAGTAATAAGGCTTCTTCAAGGTAATCCTTACCCCTGTTTGCTGTGGTTCGTTTAGTGTTTAAACATAACATAGTTCTGGTCAAATGTCTTTTGTGTCTAAAGCTATGAGGGATAGTTTAGTTTTACTTTTGTACATGATGGAACATAGAATGTCTTATTTGTTTCCCGCCATGGATGTGGTTCTTTTGATATTTAGATAACTTTAGGTGGTAGGGTGCTTCTATAATAAGTTACTCGTTAAAGGTCAATAGGATTTGAATGGCTGTTATCTTATATGAGGTGCTGAGAAAAGGTTACTCACAGATTATTTTATTGGAGATTGTCGATGCAGTTTTAGCATTAAAGAGTGGAGCATTCCATTTCATGATATTTTTGGGGATTTGAAACTTAGTTGAAGGAGTTAAAGGATTGTCAGCTTCAGAAAGACTAAAATGCAATCGGATTGTTTTACTGCTGACATCTGTGTTGCAGTGGTGGTCCCTTTGTAATGATGGGATGTCGTATTGAGCTTTTCTGTGTTAGAGATTAGGAAAGCTTGAGCATACTAGGTAATAGTAGTAATATTGCTTTCCTGGAGCATTTTGTGCTAATAGATTACTTCTTCTACATGGTTAATTGAACTTTCAAGCCTGTCTCCGTCGTGCAGTGTTGAAATCTCACACAATCATTTCTATCCTTTGCCTTATTGCCCGTGCGAATAATGCTAAGTTCAGGTTATTGCTCCTCACTGCATCCTGCATCAGCAATACCCACATTAGCCCATGGCTGGTTCTACTAAACGATTGGGATTTATTAAAGTCGTTGGAGTCTATTTGTAGATGTTCAACTTTGGATCAACCAACTGATATGTTGTTTCCATGGATGCTCTGTAGTAGTCTGAAGCATGCATATTTGCCAGGAATTTGACATAATTTTTTTTTTCAGCAACAACAAAAATTGTAATAATAAAAATAAATCACAAACCTTGATTCACACAGAAATGGTGAAACCCACACAATTCCTGAATAATCTTCTCCATAATCATAGGTCAACTGTATAATGTAGGAAAGATCCTCTTTCCTGCTACGCATAATGCAACACTGTGTTTAGTAAATGTAGTTAGGTTTGCTTACTGAAATAAAACCTTAGTATTGAGTCTCTTATGAGCAACTGACTGAGAGAAAACTTGGACTTTAAGGGGCACAGTTGCTTTTTGAATCATCTTTGAAGGGAAAAATCATGGAATTGGGATGGTCATCAATCAGAATATCAAAGAAAGTTTTACAAAAGCCCCTTGAGAAATAATAGATGACTTCCTTTATCAGGAATTGGTTGTGTAAGAATAGCCCCATCCAACAAAGAGAAAAAAGGATGAAAACTCATTGCTCTCCCTGTTATTAAGATTCCTACAGAAAGTTGAATTTTCAATTAACAGTAAAAGAAAGAGAATGTGCCATAGAAGCTATTGTGACATTATGAGAACAAGGAAGTAAGAATGAAAATGAATTATCATTCCTCCACGCATCTTCTTATAAATCTACACACGAGACAATTCTTAATAAATAGATGTACATGACTTCAAACAATCCCCAAATAGACTACATGAGAATTCCTGCCAGTACACCAAATCTCATACCTACTTTTGATGAGGACATACCATAAAGCAATCTTGATCCTTAGGACATCACCACAACCACTTTTCCATCATCCTAGTAGTGATGTTACCTACAAGAAGGCGCCCCTTTTTTGTTTGTATCTTGAAGTAATTTTCCAATTTAGCAAGTGATCCTTTTTCCCTTTCCTACTCCCACCAACTAGAACTTTCTCATCAAATCTTTCAATGAATACTTGAGAAAGCCGACTGTAATGTCAATATTCAATGTGTTTTTTTCTTCCATTTTGTCTCTTTCCTATCTTCCCAATTATCAGGTCCCAGAAAATTTTAGATCTAGGGTTCTCGCCTAAGGTTTCATTGGCTATGTCTCAAGAGCAAACCAGAATATCCACCAGTCTTCCTAGCTTATCACATGAAGAATTAGACCAATAATAGAGCTTCTATTCATATTGACATTCAAACTTGAAATGAATTCAAAAATGCTCAAAATAGGTATTCAGTATCGAATTTTAGGCTCACCCCTTATAAAAGGAATATGGTGCAATCAACAAACTGTAAATGAGATTTTGAAACTGTCCCTTTAACCACAAATCCTCTATTAAATTCACATTCTTAGCTTTGTCCACCAATCTTCTTAGAACATTAACACTAATGTATACAAAAAATAAGATAAAGGATCGTCTTGTCTAAGTCCCTTGGAAGCACCAAAATACTTTCGTAGTTGGCCACTAACAATAACATAAAAATTAGTCAAAGATAAACATCCATTTATGCACGTTTTCCATTTAGTCTTGCCTTTATTTTCTAACACCATGTTAAAAAATTCCCATTCTACGTGAATTGACCTTGAAAATAATTCCTTCCTTCATTTTTACTTTTTTTTTTTTATCTTGATCGCCTTATTAGCAACTAACACCATATCTAGGATTTGACACTCCTTTTGAAATGAATACAAAGGTTAAACATGCATCCCACACTCGAAAGATGCCCCACATAGGTCTTCCTCGAAACCCCCCTTTGGGGGGGGGGGGGGTAACTAAGGTAAACGATGGAAAAAAGCGCTTTATTTGTACTGATTCCAGAAGAGCGAAAGTAAAATAGGATGTTTTGTTAATAGGAACAAGACAGTGTATATAGCCGGTGCGACATAAACAAGAATACTCATCCTTGCTATAGAATGGAATTGGACCTAAAAAGGCCATTTAGCTTTGTTGTCGATTAGGTATCGGTGGGAACATATAGATTAAAGAATTAACTAAGTATTTGATCGACCAAATTGAACAAATGATATGTCAAGGTCATGTTGTTCATTGGAATTGAAGAGGAGAGAACGAGCAGACATAAAACGATTAATTTTGATTTGTTGTGGAATTCGTCATCAAGATGGATCGCACTTGCGTGGTCAACAAACTCATACTAATGTTAGGACTTGACGCAAGCAAATTCGAAAACGAAAGAAGTCTTTCAAAAGGCCTTGGTACTTGTTTGATCAATCACTCTGATAGCTTTAATGGTTCACTGAAATTGTTGTAATTTTTTTGGTATTTCATTGGTTACTAATCCAATATATGTATAGTAGGCCTCTTGCGCTACCCTCCTAGTGGCTCGGTTTTGCCTTAGAAGCTACTGCTTCTACCTCACCTGGCTTTGCTATTGCTCATGATTGATGTATATGTAGTGGTCGGCCTTCTAGAAGCTTGGCCAGAAGTGACTAGTCGCTTCCCGAATACCTCTTTATTTTAGTATGGTCTAATCTTTCCAATGCTTCCTTCCTTGCCGCCAACGTACGCTACTAGTAGAGTAAGGAAGCTAGCTTGCTTGCGTTGCTTGCATTCTAGAAACGGTAGCTTACAACAAAAGAAGCATTGGTCACAACATTAATATTTCCCTTCTGAAAATGTCATCAAACACTGTTCAACTCTTTTGGCATAATATGAGGAATGTTTGTTGGAAGATTGTGCGATTGCTGTAAATCTCTGTGTGGCTGAGAAGCAATGATATATAGGACTGCCGGCTTGAAGTGGAAATGGAAAACTTTAGAGATTTCATTGATTCCTTGAAGTGCCACTTAAATTTCCAAATTGACGCAAAATTTATTAGTGGAGTTTGAGATGAGGGTGTTCCAGCACCATTAAGTGATTCTGAGTTTTGTTTAGCATGCATAGAAATGCTCTATAGTTAAATGGATGTTCTTAAGATTGAAGTGAACTGAATGCTGGGGCTGCGGTCACAAAATGTTTTCTGGAGTCACCTATAGTGAACACTACTTGTTCACCGAGTCTATTGTCAATATGTACTTTTTAGGGCGATTGATAACAGGTTTTTAGCATGCTGGTTTTTAAACTTCAATCTGACCTCTATCTTATCTACCTGCAACAAATAATATTAGTTTAGACTATTCTGTTATCTGCCCAGATTCGTTTTTCAATGTGCTTCATGATTTTCATCATGGTGTTTGTGTGATTGATCTATTTTTTGAGTTTAACTGTTGAAATTTTACCATTTATGTTGTTAATGACACCTGGCCTGGTAAGTATGTCTAATAGTCTGTTGTAATTTTAAGAAAATATGCTTTTTTGCTGATGCCTAATTTGATGAATTATCCATGTTTTTTGTTGCTTGACTTAGCATTGCCTGCAATAACTTGTCTGAACTGATCGATTGATGAATTTAGTCATTTTAATGCCTATTTATATTTATTTTCATCATGATGCTGATTTACTTTTATCACACTTGCATAGATTAGTCATCCTCTGATCTAGAAACTGTACCACACGCTTTCATGGCCCTGCTTTTTTTTTTTTCCCTTTTGCTTATCTCTGATCAATTAATAGGTTAGTTTTATAAACATTAGAGTTGTAACTACTTGTTGAAATTGTGTTTATATTAGATTTTTTTTAAACGTCAGAAGACTATGCTGGTTTGTTTCTGGATTCACTTATAAGATAATAACAAGGTATATCAACTGAAAAACTAGAAATCTGTCTCAAAATTGCTATTAGTACCCTTAGGAATCAGTAAGGATAATCTAGTCCAAGTTTTTTTTTTTTGATAAAATCTAGTCTAACTGTCGACAAAATGTCAAAGGATTGTTTTTTTTAGCAACTTACACTGTTAATATTACTGAACACAACTATTCGTTTGATCGGGCTCTGTGTACATAGCAGTGCACTCATCCAAATGGCTCATGTTTTCAGCTGGGGTCCTGGGCAACCTAATGGCTGTGTAACGAACTGTCCAATAAAACAGAAAGACTAGATATAAACTAAGGATGGTGAAATTATTGACACTTCTCAAGGCAATTGAATCAGTCACAACTTGAAAATGACGTGATATTCTAACAGGAAGAATAGAGGGTCAAGTTAGTATCAGTTGCAAATAATTTGATTTTGAAACAACAAACGATTTTAACATGTACCATATGAAGAAAAAGTATTTTGTATACTTTTCTTCTTCCATAAAATTAAACTTGTAAGCTAGCAAGTATTGCAAAAAATTTCTGGGGGAATTGTTCTCGTGCAAATGGGCAGAGTCAGGAATTAGTTGTAGGGTAACAATTTTTAACAGTAACTGGATAAAACGTTCAAATAATGATAATAGGAAAATTTGTTTTAGTTGATATATTCACACTTGTTCTCGAATTGATTATTAAACACGTTTCTCTTGATATAACCAAATTAATAGCTGTGAGAGAAGAGAGGGGGTTAGGTCAATGTGGCCTGGCTCATGGGTCGATTTAATATGTGGTAGGGGGAGATCGAAGTTCCTTAGTTCATTGGTTAATTTAATACACGGTAGGAGAATGGGTAAATAGTAGATACTCTTTCTAGTATGCGGTGGAATGGTGGTGGCAAATGTACGGAACTGGTATATTGGTTGACAAATATTTATTTTACATTTCTGAAATGAATTTGAAAGGGAATTATATATCCAAG